AGTATCAGTCACGTTCCACTTCGTTGTGATAATACTAGCGCCATAAGCTTGACGAAGAACCCCGTTCTTCATTCAAGGACGAAACACATTGACATTAGGCACCATTTCATTAGAGATCATGTTCTCAAAGGTGATGTCGAAATTGAGTTTGTTGAAACACACAACCAATTAGCCGACATTTTCACAAAACCTTTAGAGAAAGAGTCGTTCTTCCGCATTCGCAGTGAACTCGGAATCCTTGACTCCACGATGATCTAATTTGTGTATTTTATCACTCTTTGTTTGAACGTTTACTAACTTGAGCGTCGGAGGGTTTTCTAACTCTTTTTTACAGGGACGGTTCGAAGTGAAGAATTCTGGAAGTCAGGGGGAACCAGCGATGGGTGGGTTATACCATCGCTGGGAGGGAAGTTCATTTTTTCCAGAACTCCTCTTCCCATCGATGGGGACTTCTTCCCATCGATGGGTGATTGACTCTATTTTTTAAAACTTTTTAACGGATTTCCAGAAGTCCACTACCCATCGATTGTAACTTTGAACCATCGCTGGGTGGATGAATTTTTTTTTTTAAAAAAATTTCTCCAGAACCTCCCCACCCATCGATGGGAACTTCCTCCCATCGCTGGGTGTTTGACATTTTTTAAAAATTTTTTTTAACGGATTTCCCAAAACCACCTACCCAGCGATGGGATGGTATTAACATCGCTGGGAAGGCTTTTGTCATTTGATCTTCACATTCCAGAACCCACCTCACCATCGATGGGAAGGCAGCCCTGAGGTCTTCCATTGTGTTCCAGTGGTGACCTTCCCATCGATGGGAAGTCTTACCCATCGCTGGGAAGGCTGGTGCATTTCAAAAATTCAGAGCCGTTGGGCACCACATTAATTGCCCAACAGCTATATTTTTGAATTCAAATGGCCTAATCCTCCCTTCCCTATATATATCCATCACATTTGTTCATTCTAATACACCATTCACATCATAATTTCATTCCTTGATCCAAATCTACATATTTCATCTCCGTTTTCTTCAAAAACGTCACAACTATGGCCGGAGGAAGATCAAAGTCAAAGGCATTCAAGAAGAAAGGCCCTACCGAGGCCTCAACCCTTTCCGTACCTGGATGGATCCTTCCTCGAATTTGGCTCGGAGGAAGAACTTACTCGCTTCCTCAATCACTTTGCCAAACGCCCGATCTCTCCGCCTCGCGTGCTACCGGAGCTGTACCCCCAAGACAAAGGGTACCACGACCTCGACAATCAACTCAAAGAGTCGGGTTTGTGGCCCTTCGTCTCCACAAGCCGCACCTCCTACAATCCCGCCTATGTCCGGGCCTTCTACTCAAATCTGCGTCGTGACGGGGACACCATCTACAGCAGCATCAATCTCTACGACATAGAGATTGACTTGCCGACATTTGCACGTATCGCAGGGCTGCCCATCCGCGGTGACGACATCACGACGTACGGTGGCGACGATTGGATCCTCAACAACGAGGCGGTCGTCATTCGCGAGCTTGGGATAACCAACTTGATCCGCCACAGCGGCCCCACCGGACAAGCGCCTCCTTCTCTACCTCATCACCCGGATTCTTCGCCCCCGGGACAACAGCCACACCTCGCTCTTCAACGAGGACTTGAAGGCGATTCACGCCATCATGCACGGCGCCTCCATCAACTGGGCGAAATTCGTCATGATTCACATGGCGGATTGTGCCTCCATCGCCACCGAGCGGAGCTTGCCATACGCCTTCCTCGTCATGGACCTCATCGTCTCCGCCGACATCCACATCGCCGGGCCAAGCACGAAGATGACGAAGTTGTGGGTCATCGCCGACACCACCTTCAAGAAGAAGTCCGGAGACCAAGACGGCGCCAGACCAAGTCGTGCCTGTGCCCCTGCCCTGCTCCTGCCCGGGCCTCGTTGCAGTCCATAGCCGACACCCTGAATCGGCTAACCCTCACGGTGGACGACATGGGGCAGTACATGGAGCGGATGGATTGGACGCTGCAACGCCAACACCACCACATGACGGCGTTCTTCCGCAGCATCAACTACGTCCCGCCGCCCTTTGACAACACCATCCTCGGCCAAAACTTTGAGGGCGAGGATGAGGACGACGACTCCTACGCTCCGTCCTCCTCTCCCGATGAGGCCGACTTTGAGGACGCAGTCGACGGCGATCCCATGGACGTCGAGAACGACGAGGATGACGACGAGGACGAAGACGCCGATGCCTAGACTCTTCCCTTCTTTCCTTATTTTTTAAAATATGACTGTACTTTTTTGTTAATTTACATTCTGTTGTATTCCGCATTTCCCTTCCCTTTAATGAATAAAAATTTACTTTCAATTCTTTTTGTTAATGTCAAAAGGGGGAAGATATAAAGGTTATGCATAAATTGAGGGAGAATTTTTTATTTCATCACAAATACTTTATTGAAAATAAAATTGCATTTATTAAGGGGGAACATCTCTTTTGGTCTTAAACTAATCCTCCTATGCATAACCTCGTCTTGTTTGCCATTATCAAAAAGGGGGAAATTGTTGAAACACGGGCTTGTCACATTTTCGTACTAAAGCCGTGTTCGTTTTTATGACAGGTTTTGATAATGCCAAACCGCCGTGATCAAGACACAAAGTGAATATACAAGGCGAAGAACGAAGATAAGAACAAGAGCTAAACGAAGACCAAGAAGGAAGACCATAGTCTTAGTATCGTTGAGTTGGTCTTAGTTGTGATCAAGACCAACCCAATCTTTACACCTTGGCTCTTTAGGCTAAAATCTTTTCATTGCATCTATTACATCATAAAAATGTCTTTCAAACATGTTTAAACAATTCTCTAACCAAGTGGTTTTCAACATTTTATGATTGGTTTTTACTACTTGGCATGTTTAAACAGTTCTCCAACAAAAACACCTTGAAAACCACCTTTCGTTTTTGGTCATTTGGCAAAAACAACGTAAAACGACATAAACTTGACTAGCCCTGGTTTTTACCCAAATGACGTTGTTTTTAAAGTGTCTCACTTGATTTCTTAGCCAAATACATCAAATAAGTGTTTTAAACACTTAGTTTTTATTTTGGAGAATGTTGGATTTTTCGGTCGGTTTTTGCATCGGTTGGCTAGGCCGTGGTTCAGGCAAAAAACCATGGGTTTTTGACTAACCACCCACCTAGCGATGGGAAGAACTACCCATCGATGGGTAAGCGGTCCTCTAGCCCAACCAAGTTCCAGAACCATGCCAAACAGCGATGGGAAGTTCTACCCATCGCTGTTAAAGCCTTGGTCCAACATCAACACAAGGCAGAACGACCTTACCCAGTGATGGGGACTTTACCCCATCGATGGGAACCCAGCGATGGGAAGGCTAAACCATCGATGGGAAGGCATGACCGTTGGAAGTCATTTAAGGTTGATTCTTTCCTTGTTTGGAAGTCAACCTCCCACCCAACGATGGGAAGCTTGTACCCATCGATGGGTAGGTGACCGTTGGCTTCAAAACTGAAGGAAAATTGGCCTACCAGCGATGGGTAGAAACCATACATCGCTGGGAAGCCAATATCCTGCAGATCCACAATTTATTCAATCCCATAAATCAAGCCAATCACCCCTTTAATGTATTGGTATCAGAGCCTAACTCGCGTCCAAACTTAACTGTTTGAGAGTAAAGCGATCATGGGTTCTTCTTCTAGAAATCTTTATGCAGGAATTGGAGAAGGTCAATCAACCTCTAGGCTACCGCTTTTTAATGGCACCAACTACACATATTGGAAAGAGCGGATGAGAATTTATATCCGCTCAACCAACTTCTAGTTGTGGTTGGTCATCAAAAACGCTGAAGAAACGCCAATGAAGAAGGTCAGTGAAAAACTCGTCCCCAAGACCGAGGACGAATTTCATGCCGAAGACATCAAAAAGGTGGAGAACTACGCCAAGGCAATCAACATGCTGTATTGCGCGGTCAAAGAAATGTGGGACAAGCTGGAGGTCACATATGAAGGTACGGACCAAGTTCGGGAAGCCAAAATTGACTTCCTAACGCAGGAGTACGAAATGTTTAGGATGAAGGAAGGCGAAAAGATCGATGACATGTTCGATCGGTTCTCAAAGATCATCAACGACCTTCATGCTCTCAAAAAGACTTACGCCAACAAGGATCTCGTGAGGAAAATCCTACGGAGTCTCACACCCAAATGGAGATCAAAAGCTGATGCAATCTACGAATCCATCGGAGTCTCCAACGTCACCATCGACGAGCTAAGAGGTAACCTCAAAACTTATGAATCTACTATTCTAACCCCGTCTTTGGATGAACAAAAGAAGAAAGGAATAGCGCTCAAAGCAACCAAGGAGACCGTAGAAGAAGTCTCAAGCGATGACGACAACGAGTTCGGACTCGTCATCAAGAAATTCCACAAATTCATGAAGAAAGAATTTGAACGAAAAGGAAGAAAGCACGACGGTCCCCCGAAGTGCTATGGCTGTGGCGAGATAGGCCACATCAAGCCGAGGTGTCCAAAAGGCAAAAGCGGCAAGGACAAACCTGGCTTCAAAAAGCAACGTGCCTATATCTCATGGGGTGGCGACTCCGGCGACGAGTCAACTGACCAAGAAGAGGAAGAAGCCGCCAACCTTTGTCTCATGGCACACGAAGACCACGCCGACGAAATACAAGAGGTATGTATCACTTCCTCCGACTCTTACACTTTTGAAGAGATGCAAGAAGCTCTTCGAGAGCTTTATGATGAATTTGTTATTGCTTCTAAAACCAACAAATCATTAAAGAAAGGTCTTTCAACTCTTGAAAATGATTTTGAAAAACTGGAAAAAGATAATGAAAAGTTGAAACAAGAAAATAAATTTTATGGCAAAAGAAGCACTGACAAACCGGAAAGCTCTTCAAGTGAATGTGAATCTTGCAAAGCCTTAAAGAAAAGGTTGCAAAACTTGAGAGTACGGTTAAGAAGTTTAATACACCGCACAAAGATCTTAATTTACTCCTAGACACTATGCATTTTTCTAAGGAAGAATTAGGTTTTGATAAAAATGAATCTAAGGATAAAAACGTTGAGCAAACACCTAGACAACCTCCTAAGGCTCAACGTAAGAAAGTTAAAAATCAGGATAATAGAAAATCTAGTCAACCTAAGGACACTAGACAACCTAGACAAAAACCTAGGAATGAAAATGTGCATATTAGACAACCTAGGAAAAACTATCAAAATGAATTTGTGCATAAAAATATTTTTTTAAATAGACAAAATAATGCTAGGACACCTAGAAGAGAGAATTTTCAAAAACCAATATTTTCTCAAAATAGGATGAATATGGTTAGGCCCCCTAGCAACTATTATCAACCTAGGAGGATGCACAACCCAAACGTAGTTTGCCACTATTGCAAGAGGGTAGGACATATAGCTCCCGTTTGCTTTACCAGGCATAGGCATTGGGCACAAAATGAATCACACTACCACTCTGCACCTAACACTCAAGGACCCAAAAAGACTTGGGTACCTAAATCTTATTAAATCATTTTTGTAGGTGTGCTTGAAGGCGTCAAGTGTACTTTGGTACCTTGATAGCGGATGCTCCAAGCACATGACCGGAGATGCATCCAAGTTTCTACAAATCAAACCCGCTAAAGGAGGAAACGTAGTCTTTGGAGATAATAGCAAGGGAAAAATTATCGGCGTCGGTTCAGTAGGTATGTCCGAAGACTCCTATATAGATAATGTCTTGCTTGTTAAAGGTCTTAAACACAATCTCTTGAGCATAAGTCAATTATGTGACAAGGGAAACTGTGTGACCTTCGATTCAAAATCATGCGCGGTAGAACGCCTTAGTGACAATAAGGTCATTCTACGTGGTGATAGAATCGATAACATATATATGGTTAACTTAGACAAATCTCCTTCCGGCTTTGCTAAGTGCCTCATGAGTAAGGAGGAAGACACTTGGTTATGGCACCGAAGGGTAGCTCATATGAACATGAACCTTTTGAACAAATTGGTTTCACAAGACCTAGTAATTGGCATTCCAAAACTTAAGTTTGAAAAAGACACCATATGTGATGCATGTCAAAAGGGGAAGCAAGTTCGGGCTTCGTTTAAGTCTAAGAACGTTGTTTCAACGTCTAGACCGCTTCAACTTTTGCACATGGATCTCTTTGGTCCTTCTAGAACGAAAAGTTTTGGTGGTAATTACTTTGCGTTTGTGATTGTCGATGACTACTCTAGGTTTACATGGACCTTGTTTCT